GATGCTTTTTTTCCTTAAAAATTCTCTTAAATAACTACAGTACAACAGTCAAACTCAGGAAATGAAGACAGATATGGTGCTATTATCTAATCCATAGACCTTATCAAGATTTTTCCAATTGACCCAATGATGTCCTTTAGAACAAAAGGAAATCCTGGATCATGTCAGTTATCATGTCTCTTCAGTATTCTTTGGCTTGGAACAGTTTCTGAGTCTCTTTATGTTTTATAAGTTAGTATCTTTGGAAAGTTATGGTCAGCTATTTTGCAAAGTGTTCCTCAATTCAGGGTTATCTGATATTCCTCATGATATAATTCAGGATATACTTTATTGGCAGGCAGATTACAGATGTGATCTTTTGCCCTTCTCAGTTTATCATATTAGCAGGCATATTGCATTGATCTCTCCTGTTATTAGTGATGCTAACTTTGATTACTGGTTTATGTAGAAATTGCCAGCTTTCTCCATGGCAAAGTTACCTTTTCCCTTTGTAATTAATGTCTTGTGAGGAGATACTTTCAGATTATGCAAATATCTTGTCATTTCTCATATTCCCTCTTTCATAATTTTAGTATTTATTTGTGATTCTTGTCTGAATTGACACTTACGATGGAAGTCAAATGGTGATTTCCTAAGAATATTATTCCTTTTGTATTTATTCGTTGACTTTCTGTAAGGAAGAATCTCCCGCCTTTCCCCCATTTATTTACTTATATTAATGCAGATTTGTGATTCTTATTTTTTGAAAATAGGTTGTAATCCTTTCCTTTTGTTACTTATTTTGATGCTGCAAGAGTTAGCCAATGAGAGCCCCCTCAACTGGCCGCTGTGTACTTTTGGCATGTCCTCATCATTCTTTGATCACTTCTTTACTTTCTTGCATAACAAGATGTTACAGGCCGATCTCATCCTTTCCCTGCCCCAGCCCTGGAATCTGCCATTTCTCCAACGCCCTGATTCCTTTTACTAGAGAAGGACATTTAAAAACCAAGAGGTTTTAGGTAAGCCCACTGCTACTGGGGTGTCACTGCTCTTAGGGCCTCTTAGTGGACAGTGCTGGAAAACAGATGTCATATACACACACCCACACCCACATATACACACACATCTATCTATCTATCTATCTATAACCATGATAGGTTTCATCATTTTATTATGTTAGATTTTCTAATCTAGAGGCACAGGGTTCATTCTATTCCTCCCCTTTCCATAGCTGTAACTTCATTCTCAGATAGTGAAGAACCTGGCTCCCGCTATCCACAATGTATTTACTTGTATTCTCAATCCATGAATGTTCACAACATAGTCTCAGAATTGCTAGCCCACATTGCTGTGGAAAGGAAGCCTACTTAACTACAGTCAAATATTTGTTTAAAGTTCTTTTTGTTTTGGGCTTGAGGACACAGCAGTGGAAATGCTATGTTCAAATATTACTGGGTTAATTTTTTTCCTGGGTAATTATGTTATTCAAAACTGCTCTGTTCAAATGCTATTCTGTGAATTTGTTTCTGTTTGTATTCTGTCTTAGGGGTTTTCTCTATCTTTGTGGATCTTATATTTATTTTAAGCATATGAAACATTAACATGACTCCCCAAACCAGAATGCTTTTTAAAAAAAAGGTTTTTTTTTAAATTTACTTTATTTTATTTATTTTTTTGAGAAGGAGTTTCACTCTTGTTGCCCAGGCTGGAAGGCAATGGCATAATCTTGGCTCACCGCAACCTCCACCTCCAAGGTTCAAGCGATTCTCCTGCCTCAGCCTCCCGAGTAGCTGGGATTACAGGCTCCTACCACCTTGCCTGGCTAATTTTGTATTTTTAATAGAGATGGGGTTTCTCCATGTTGGTCAGGCTGGTCTTGAACTTCCCATCTCAGGTGATCTGCCCACCTCAGCCTCCCAAAGAACTGTGATTACCGGCATGAGCCACCGCTCCTGGCCTCAAAAAGTTACACTCAAGAAAATGTCATTTCCCCTCAACTCCACAATTTTTCTAATCTTTCCGCCCCCATTCCCACCAATGTCCTGTGGGTAACTAATCTCAGTAGATCCAGGTTTATCCTTCTGGGGTTTAATTTTGTACAAGTAGGCAGATAGATGATTATTTCCTTGTTTTCCCTTCTTTCTTACATGAAAGAATACTAAACATAGTATAAATTCCTCCCTGCACTATCAAAAAACATTTTAAGGCATCTAAGTTAGTTTAGTTCTTTCTTGCAGTTTCTAACCCTTTCCTATATATCTTGGTCCCCCATGACTTAGCAGGCTCTTAGAATTTTAAATACAGTGAGGCAAAACTGTATAAAAGACTAAGACAGATGTTGATATTTTTTTAAAGAGGACTTTGTCCTCTGCTGGACAAGCACTCTCAACCAAGAATTCTAGAAGAAGCCCCAAACCCATTACAGGAGGAAAATATCACACTCAAACCCAAGACCCTTGTTTGGGAAACAGTTCCTCTGTCAGCCAGATGTTCTTTCCTGTTAAGAGAGCTGGGCATCCACAAACCAAGTAACCAGAGCCCGGAACAAACAACCTCCTGGGTTTTTGTAAGTTTAAAGATTTGAAAGTCAAACAGACAGTCTTTTACCCAAAGCTGACACTCTCACTTGAATATGACTTTACTTGGCTTATAGGCAGCCCAGTCCTCCTGGGAAAGGTCCTTGGGAGAAGGGGGGGCCACTGGGACCCATGCTTTTCCTGGCAGGTAACAGGATGCACCTGCTCAGAGCTCCAGCCTCCAGGCTGCACAGCACAGCTGTTTATTCTCAGTCTGAATAAGCTAGATTTAGAGGGAACAGAGGGATGGAAGCAGGAGAGCAGAAGGACAATTTTGCATCTGTCCATTTACCTTTTAGCAATTCTCCTTCCAGAGACTCAAGCATTGGAAAGGAACTTGGTAGAATTTGTCTCAGATCCCCTAGGAGTTAGCAGGTGGCCCCTGAATACTGGTATAGACAAGCCTGCCTGCAGCCAGCCAGGATGCACCCACAAGCAAAGAACCCAACAGAGGCAATTAACAAAGGCCATTACCACTGCTTCCTCTGCCTTCCCAAGCTTTGTCTAGATTCAGATGAGGCTAATCAATTTTTGGAAAATATGTATAACTCATCTCTGACAAAATTAGATCAGTTCAGTGGGGACTCTACCCTGCTCAGATGACAGAACAATTATCTGCCCCATGGTCTGGCTGTGGACTATGAACTGTAGGGAATCTGCTCTTCAGACCATCCTAGGAAGCAAGCAGGGGCTGGAGAGTGCCCAGGCTTCCTTGGTCTGTCCTCTACAGGATTTAGCCCTTGGTAGCTCAGGAGACCTGGAATGTCCCTTGCTGTGAATTCCAGATCCAGCCAGAGCATCATAGAGTTTTTCAAGGATGCAACCACAGATACTGGAGATCGTGACTTCTTCAGGCCTTCCATAAACCTGGGCATTACGGACGTTTGCCCCAGCCTCCAGGACTTTCGTGTGTCACAGCCCCATTGTAAATAAGGAGGTTTCTCACAGGAGCTCCAGGCCAGCAGCATGGATGGATGCCCTGTCTCCTGTGTCAACGATGCCAACGCATAAGCAGCCCTTGCTTTGGGGAGATGCCTTGCTTCTTTCATTGCTGCTTCAGAGGCTGGGGGATGTGGTACACAAAGCGCTGAACTTAGAGCTGGAGCCTCTTCAACAAACTGGCCTCGGCAACTCTGTGACTGGAGTCAGTTCACAAAGATGACTCGGACCCCATAGGCTCAGCTGTAAAAAGGACATTATAATAAGGTTAGCTACCTTATAAGAGCTTGGCAATCATTGAGCAAAAGAACCTTAATTAATGTGTGTTTTCAGAACTATAAAATATTCTTTAAAAATGTTTGCCGGCAGGCTGGCCGTGATGGCTCACACTTGTAATCCCAGTACTTTGGGAGTCTGAGGCAGGTGGATTACCTGAGGTCAGGAGTTCAAGACCAGCCTGACCAACATGGTGAAACCCCATTTCTACTAAAAGTACAAAATTAGCCGGGTGTGGTGGCACATGCCTGTAATCCCACCTACTTGGGAGGTTGAGGCAGGAGACTAGCTTAAGCCCAGGAGGTGGAGCCAAGGTCATGCCATTGTACTCCAGCCTGGGCAACAAGAGCGAAATTCCATTTCAAAAAAGAAGAAAAAAATTGTTTATAGTCTCTCCAATAAAGCGAACAATTGCTCACTGTCTATTCCAACAGCACAGACCGGGGAGGATGGGAAGTGGGCAGCAGCCCCCCGTAACACTGCAAATCTACCCCCAGGTGTTCATCAGGCACCTACTCTGTAATTAGCACAGAAAACATGTAGGACCAGGTTTCTTCTCTCCAGAATTACCATAAGTTAGGAAGAAACAAAATGCAACACTTAGGAAGAGAGAATTCAGTGTGACCTGGGCTATTGAGAGAAATCTTTATGGAGAATGGAATGTGAATGCCGGGCCTCACAGGGAGGCCAGGATCTAATGAGGTCAAGACAGAAAGGGAAAGTCACTGTAAGTATTTGGTATCATCTTTTTGGTAAATCAGGATCCTATAGCCTTGAAGGAATAGTTTTTCATTGCATATTAGTTATTTCGCAGAGGCAGCCTTGCATTCTTATTAGAGACTGTTTATATTTAAAGATGTGGGAGACGTTGGGAGTGATCCCCACCCAGAGTGAAGCTTGTTCTGGCCCTGGCTTCAGCAGCTAAGCAGGCACAGCATCTCTGCATCCCCTTCTTGACTTTGAGGAAATATTTGTCATGGAGACTCAGGTATCACAAGCACCTACCCAGTGCCGGGCTGCACTGAGCTCCTCACAAAGGCCCCATGACATCGAGGTGATTATTTGCATTTTATGGATGAAGAAAGTGATGCTTAGAGCGTAGCTCAATAGGTTCGCACAGCCAGGATGCGAAACCCCTGAAAGTAAATGAAGACCACGCAAAGGACAGCACAAACCTCCCAGGGGATTTTATTTAGTGGGTATGCTTTGGATGCTACAGGAGTCTCCATGGAAGCCATCCTGAAACCCTTTGGAGAATACTTCTTTCAATTCTGTAAGATGTCTGGCTATGACAGGATGCTTCGGACACTCGGAGGAAATCTCATGGAGTTTATGGAAAACCTGGATGCCCTCCACAGTTACCTGGCACTCTCCTATCAGGTAAGGCCGCTTGAGTCTGGTCTTGGCTGCCCAAGAGGAAACAAATGCTGTGGCAGTCCTGCTGGGCCAGCTCCCTGCCTCCCCCAATAGATGCGCAGTTGCAGGAGAACCCTCCCATCTGCAGAATCCTTGGTCCCTAGTGTTGGTGGGCCCAGGAGTTCTTTTTGGAAGAGAATGAAATAGAAACACCTGTTGGCCACTTTTACAAACTGGCCCACAAAAACTGAAGGGATGGCCTTTTCAGATAGGGGTCGGTGTGGATTTGGAATTAAATCCTGGAAACTGATTGCAATTGGAACAAAGGCTGGAAAACAGTCAGGTTTCAGTGTATTTGCAAAAGCTCTCCTAAGGTTTCCTGGCTGGGATGGAGCTGATAAATTGCATATGCAGCCAGATTCATATTATTCATGTATCAGAAAGGAAGACTTGACAGGGCTCAGAGCCAGAATCGGAAACCATCCAACTCTGATTAACCCGTGGGTGACCGACTGAGGTGTTAAGAAACTAATTTCCCTACTGGGATATGTCCGTTGGAGTGCTTTCCATGGGTTTCTTGTTTGTAGAGATCATTGGAAATTCAAATGCCTAGACTCTCTTTTATTTTTTAGTCAAGAAAAGTTTAAGGAGCATTTATATATATAACCCTTCATTACTTTATAGAAAATAGTTTAATTTTAGGGCCTTTTATATTTCACCAAGATCTTTCTTCACCATTTCTTTTTCTTTTTTTTTTTTTTTTGAGACGGAGTTTCGCTCTTGTTACCCAGGCTGGAGTGCAATGGCGCGATCTCGGCTCACCGCAACCTCCGTCTCCTGGGTTCAAGCAATTCTCCTGCCTCAGCCTCCCGAGTAGCTGGGACTACAGGCGTGCACCACCATGCCCAGCTAATTTTTGTATTTTTAGTAGAGACGGGGTTTCACCATGTTGACCAGGATGGTCTCGATCTCTTGACCTCGTGATCCACCCGCCTCGGCCTCCCAAAGTGCTGGGATTACAAGCGTGAGCCACCGCGCCCGGCCCACCATTTCTATATTGGTGTTCATATCCACCCTTTCAGGGTTGTCATGGGGACAAAACGGGGTTGCAGATGCTAAAAAGCCTCAGCAACCATTACTCCCTTTTATAGACGATAAATGGGCAAAGTATTATTTTCTCCATTTTTCATATAAGGAATCAGAGGCTTGGAAACCTTAATTGACTTCTATTATGAGTCATGAATAGTTGGGCCTGTCCTACTGTTACCATGTGAACTACTCGAGGGTAGAGGGAATGGAAAGAGCCCTGCGTATGGGGTCACACGGGCCCACGCGGCTGTCCCACTGGCTCTTCAACTTACCAGCTGTGTGATCCTGGGCAAGTTGGTTGCCATCTCTGAATCTCAATTTATTTTATTTAATAAATACTTATTGAGTGACTAGTGTTTACTGAATGATACTATGTCTCAAGCACTTTTTAAGGCATTAGACACAAGCAGCTGTTAGGTATCATTAAAGAACAGAATAGAAAAGAAATAAGGAAGAAAATAACCTACCTCATAGCAATGTGTGGATTACAAGAGATAAGATGTAAATGTCTCTAACATTGTAATTAGCCCAGAAAATCAGCTTTCCATAAATAAATAATAACTCTATTCCTTCCCCTTTGTTTTCTCTCTGTTCAATATGGCCAGTTTAAGAATTATGATAATTTGCGGGACAACTTCCTTTCAATTTCTTAGCTAAAGCACAACAATTAGGATATAAAGAAATACAGTTAGGGCCCTTTAATATTTTTTGTAATACATATATTTCTTCTGTCATCTTTTTTTCTTTGCTTTTTTATAATTTCAGTTTATTCGTAAAGATTCAGAGGGTACATATGCAGGTTTTTTACATGGGTATATTGCATGATGCTGAGGTTTGGGGTATGATTGAGCCTGACAACCAGGTAGTGAGCATAGCACCCAATTGTTTTTCAGTCCTTGACCCCCATCCCCTTCTCCCTCCTCCAGTAGTCCCCGGTGTCTGTATTTGCCATCTTTATGTCCACGTGTATTCAATGTTTAGCTCCCACTTATCAGTGATGCTATAGAGAAGCAATAGAACAGAACTTCTCTGGTGGTATTTGAGGACATTTTGCATATAATAAGGTAAATAAAACATTTAAATCTTATAATATACAAGTTGGAAGAAAATACATGCAATGATACCTAATACTGTACAGTGCTTTATTCTGGGCAAAGTATTACAAGTTGTCTCTTTAGGCAAAAATAACAAAATAAGATAATGTTCACTTTTTTGTGTCTATCTAGTAATTTGGCAGTGCCTTTAAGACATACATTTATGGTTATAACTGAAGCTTTAATCTTGTTATGCTTTAGCTAACTTTTATTGAGCGCTAATGAGGCAGGTGTTGGGCTAAGTAATGCGTCCACATTGACTTATTCTCTTGATGCTGTAAGAGTGGGCAGTCTTATTTTTCCTGCTATACAGAAGAGAAAACTGAGGTCTAGAAAGGTCAAGTATTTGTCCCCAAATCACCTAGGTGTGGTGGCTGAGCTGGACCCAAACTCACGTATGTCTCCAAAGACCCTGGTCTGTGCTGGTCTCATTATTCTTTGGAATAATGAGAACTTTGTCAAAGATCACACGGCTTTAGGTGTATGGCTTTATTTCTGGGCTTTCTATTCTGTTCTGTAATGATAACTAACAGCTTTATAGTGCTTTCTTCTGGGCAAAGTATTATAAATTGTCTCTTTAGGCAAAAATATTTTTACTTCTTTTATCCTTTGCCCTAATTCTCCACTTTAAAAAAACCCTATTTTAATCAAGAAATAAAAGTATAACTATATTGTTTAGAGACTTAGTGACGTTGACCAGAAGAACTAAAAGCAAAAACTTTTGGAAGTGTCCCTGGGCTGGGAGCAAGGAGTGAAGGGGTAAGATCCTGAAGCAGGATCTCGTGGATTTTCTTCCAGGCCTTCTGTGATCTCTTACTTTATTTTCACTATGTAGGATTTGGATATAATTTTTAAATTAACTTAATTTCCTGTTTTATCAATGCTTCTTATATGTGCTGCCTTGACTACTCTTTACATTTAGTCAAGATGTAAACACACATACATACGAATAAATATATGTACTTTCTCTAGGTACATACTTTTGGAATTATAAACAAAAAGTATTTGAGGTCTGGGCGGGGTGGCTCATGCCTGTAATCTCAGCGCTTTCAGAAGCCGAGGTGGGCAAGATCATTTGAGCCCAGGAGTTTGAGACCAGCCTGGGCAACACAACAAAGGCCCAACTCCACACACACAAAAAAAAAAATACAAAAAAACATTAGCTGGTCATGGTGGTGGCATGCCTGTAGTCTCAGTGACTTGAAAGCCTGAGGTGGGAGGATCACTTGAGCCTAGGAGGCAGAGGCTGCCGTGAGCTGTGATCGCACCACTGCAATCCAGCCTGGGTAACAGAGCATGACCCTGTCTCAAAAGAAAAAAAAAAGATAACAAAAGTGTTTGGGGAAAAAAAGAAACCCATTTTAACTATTAGCCTTTCACCATGGAAGATCTTGGAAGGAACCCATCTCCTTTCCCTATTCCCTCACTTGGACCAAAACTGTGTGTCCAGGGTGCTGAGTTGCCTACTAACTAGATAGAGACCCCTCCAGGCAAAGTCTCTATCCTTCTTTCCTATTATTCACCCCATTCACTGTGACATAATATGTACGTGAACGTCAACATTTATTTCTGGAGAAAGGGGATCTCTTCTGATGTATCCTTGAAGCTTCTACTTTCTAAATGTCTAAATTGACATCACAGATGACATTATCCTTCCAGAACAAAAAATTAATTCTACTTGCAAACTCCTCTGATTCCTGATGTATTGGAGAGCGAAGATGCCCATGGTCACTTGGTCACAGACCAAGCATGGCAGAGACTCACTAAGGCTTCCTGTTACCAGCAGCCAGCTGCTCTTGGAATTTGGGTAGAAACAGCATAGCATGGTGCAAAGGCTCATTTGGGGATCAAATGTCGTTCTACCATTGATCTAGGTTTACCTTCCCTGAGTCTTAGTTTCTTTCTCTTTTTTTTTTTTTTTTTTTTTT